GCTTGGCATATGGTGGCAGTTCTGCGAGCCCCTCGCCCTCCACTAGGCAGCGTGCAGAGGAAAAACTGCCTTCGTGTTCCCTGAAGGAGCATTTCCCCAATTTCATGGCTGAGGCCAGGGGTAGAGGCCACCCTGCCTCCTCGCCTGGGAGGAAGGAACCGCAGGAGAGGCAACCTGGCCGCCTGGGAGCGCGAGGATGCTCCTGTGGGACCCTGGAGGGAGGACTGGGGATGTTGGGTGGGAACTGGCTCTGCCCACCCAGGTCTCGTTTCTCCCTCTGTGGCCACGCCCCTCCCTCTGTGGCCACGCCTCTCCCTCAGTGACCACGCCTCTCCCTCAGTGACCACGCCCCTCCCTCAGTGGCCACGCCTCTCCCTCTGTGGCCAGGTTCTGAGCACTGGCCATTGCAGACGCTGGATCAGGAGCGTACACAAAAGAGGCCACAGAATGGTTGTTTGCTTTCCACATTTGCAGAAAAGAGAGCAGGAGTGGGAGGTAAAAGGAACCGGCCCTATTTCATGCAGGTGTCCCTCAGTGATCACCTGGCTAGGAGGTGCCCTGTCTCACCCTGAATCTGGCTGTGTCAATCAATGCACAGAACTAGCCCAGAATTGCTTAAAGTTCAACTCCCATAAATTGGAAGTTTTGCAACAACGGAGAAAAAAATAGAAAATCATCAAACAGCCAATGAACAAAAGAGCCAAGAGGCCAGAACCCCTATCAGAGCCTGGGCCTCTGGCACCACATTTTGCAGCCCAGGCCCCGGTCAGCTCCGAGGTCTCTGTGGAAACGCTGGCCCTTGGCTGGGTCCCTCCCTTACTCAGGTCAGGGAGAGGATGTCCGCGCTAGGACAGGTGGCGGGGATTGTAGTTCCCAAGGAGGGCACGGCAGGGCCAGAGTGCCTGGCCTGTGGGCACCGTGTTTTCTGCAGCCGTTGATACTGAGCCTGCTTTCCACCCCAGGCCGGCGCTGGTTCTGTGTCTGCCTGAACCCCTATTCCTGGGTACTCAGCCCTGGTGCTAGGAAGGAATTTGAAGATGGTTTGAGATTTTCAAAGACCCGCCTTCCTCTCCTCCAGCCACATCCCTGTGCCCTTCATGGGGACAGGGACCAAGGGACCTTACAGGAGGTCATGGTTCTACAGAGAGAGCTCCTTGCCACCCGCCCCTCCCCGTCTCCCCGCAGGTTCACCACTATGCTGTCCACATCCGCCACCCGGGAAAAGTTCATCAGTTCGGCCATATCCCTCCTGAGGACGCACAACTTCGATGGTCTGGACCTCTGCTTCTTGTACCCTGGGCTGAGAGGCAGCCCCATGTATGACCGGTGGAATTTCCTCTTCCTAATTCAAGTAAGGCCAGGCTGGCAGCTCCGGAATCTGGAAACGATTCTACTTTGATCATAGGTGGGCTCATGGCATAGGAGGAGCAGGAGGCCAAGGGCAAGGGCAGGAGAGCCATCAGGGAATGTTTCTTTCCTGCCACCACCCGAGAGGTGTGGGACCAGAGAGCTGCGGGGCAGGTGTCCTGAGGTGGTAGTTCGTGCTCTGTCGTATCCAGCGCTTGCTCCAGGCCTCCCGCACAGGTGACGCCTTCTCCGGGCAGCTTCCTGAACTCCTGCAGGCGGGCAATCCGACCCCCCTTGCTCCGGAGCCTGCCTGCCACCCTCTATGCATTCACTTACCTCTAAAGGGCCTGTGGACAGGGCCTGCCGCCAACTCACTTTTATGCTTCCAGAGCCTGGTCAAGGCTCCGTCTATAAAGGCTTCCTGGGTGGTGTCCTCTCTCCCTGACTGTTTTGTCTGGTTCTCTGCGTCTCCCTCTCTCATGTCCCAGGAGCTGCTGCTCGCCTTCCAGCAGGAGGCCCAGCTCACCATGTGTCCAAGGCTGCTGCTCTCGGCTGCCGTCTCTGGGGATCCGCAAATCATCCAAATGGCTTATGATGTACCCCATCTAGGAAGGCGAGTGGGGGCTGCCTCGGGGGGCAGGACATTGAAGGGCAGGAGGCATCTCGCACTCACACCCCCAGGCCCGAGGTGAGGGCAAGGATCGGCTCCATTAGCCCTGGCTTTCTCTAGGCGTCAGAGTGAGGTGATGTGGTACCAGCCCCCCACATCATCGTGGGGAGCGTCTCTGTGTAACCATTGCTAGGTCTCACGGGAGAGAGTCCCATGAGCCTGGCCTCTGCTGCCCCGAAGGACAGCTGTGGACACTGGCCGTTTGGCAGAGGGCTGGCATTGAGAGGCCGCTGAGTACCAACCACTGACACAGAACCAAGACTGGGCAGGCCCCGTCGGGCCCAGTTTGCAGAGCAGGTTCCACAGCCAGATAAAGAATAGCTCGCAACTCCTTCTGAACGGGCCAGCTTTGGACTGATTCGCTCAGATTTCAAGAATCGAGCATTTACAGAAAGGAAACAGGCAGATGCAGAACAAAGAGAGGCTGAGGTGCTTCTGTGAGTGGTTACACCACGGAGTGTGGTTTCAGTGTGAGCAGAGCGGTGGGAGACCCAGGGGGCACGGAGTTTGTTAATCTTACAGCCAGGCAGGGCTGAGGGGGTCCTGCCTTCACCAGCTGGGTGACCATAGGCCAGCGGTTCTCAACCTGTGGGTTGTGACCCCTTTGGGGGTCGAATGGGCCTTTCACAGGGTTCGCCTAACTTCATCAGAAAACACATATATAATTACATATTGTTTTTGTGATTAATCACTATGCTTTAATTATGTTCAGTTTGTAACAATGAAATTGGGGGTCACCACAACATGAGGAACTGTATTAAAGGGTCGCGGCATTAGGAAGGTTGAGAACCACTGCCTTAGGTGAACTGGTTAACCCACCCAGTTTCAGTTTCTCTAGCTTAGGGTCGGGACAGTCACGGTCCTGGGAGTATTGGCCGGATTGAAATGAAATGAGATAAGCCATGTAAACCCTTACACCAGCGACCTGGTAAGGGCTCAATTACACTTGGCCACTAGGACAGCTTTCCGGATGCAGTGGGTTTCAATGTCCCTTGAATTGCAGACAGGCAGAAGCGCTCTCACTGCTGTGGGACAGCACTGCTTTACTCACATTGGTTTCTGCAGACCTGTTAGTACGTGTGTCAGGCCTGACTGCTTTTGTTTTCTTGTCTGAATCCTGCCTGTTTCCATGGATACGCTCAGGATGACATAGGTCCCCAGGCACAGTGGTCCCTACCTAGTAGTTTGTTCTAGTGGCAGTATCTTAAGTGGATGGCCCAGTATGGGCAGGCCCATCAGGCAGAAATACTAGTAGCAGGGAGGCTTGGGTGGCCAATGCACAGCTAGTTAGCTAGTTAGCTAGTTAGCACAGTGATGATCTGACTTAAACATCTAACTAGCCCAAACCGTATATACGTTTCCTTCTGCTGCCCTGCACAGGCTCCTGGATTTCATCAACGTCTTGACTTTTGACGTACATGGGAGCTGGGAAGAGTTCACAGGGCACAACAGCCCCCTGTTCTCTCAGCAAGGAGACCCCAGATCTGTGGTAAGAGAAGGGAAGGTCTCAGAGGCAGCAGGACCCCTGCCCCGGAGCCCAGGCCATAGTAACAGGAGGGTTTGTGATTTCCTATGAAGGCCTATGCCATGGATTACTGGCGGAAGCTGGGGGCCCCCTCCGAGAAGCTCCTCGTGGGGTTCCCCACCTATGGGCGGACGTTTCACCTCCTCAAGGACTCTGAGCATTGGTTGCAGGCAGAAGCTGTGGGACCTGCATCTCCAGGGAAGTACACCAGGCAGCCTGGCTTCTTGGCTTACTATGAGGTGACAGGATAGGGACCTCTGTCTATTCGTTAAGGCTCCCCCACCTGCAGTGTGGGCAAGAGTAAGGTCAAGGGGCAAAGGAAGGGTGAGGCTACAGACAGGATGGAGAGGTAGTTTAGTGGGGCAAGGGAAAGCCACTCTCTGGGATCGTTTCTTTTTCTTCAAGGAAGTTATTTGAGTCCTTTGTAAGGAATGAGGGGCTAGGTGGAATATGAATAAAGGGGACAGATATTTCACTCTTAAAAAGAATCTTAAATGTCATACACGCCAATCCTGACTTACTATACGGCCTAAATATAATTAATATTTGCTGTATGTGTAAAATTTCAAACATTTGCAAAGTAAAAGAATAGTGTGACCTCCTCTCCCCGCTGCCACGACCACATACCCCTCCCCCCCGTTTCATTGATCAACCTCTCCTGGCCAATCTTATTTCATCTCTGCTCCCTGACTCCCTCCCCACTACGAGATTATTTTGAAACAATTCCAAAAATATCCTCTACTACAGATTCTTCCTTCTCTACCCCAGTTCCACTTCTTTAATCCCAGTCTCAGCAAAGCTTGCTTTTTGTGGAGGAAAGACACAAAGACCCAAGGGATTGTAAAACACAAGAGAAGACGAGAGGCACAGAGTGTATGGCTGTAGGATCAGGAAGGGTCTTATGGAGCAGATAGAGCCCTGATGGGCAGGAATGACAGGGTGGGAAGGACCTCCCAGGCAGAAGACAGGACAGCAGGTACAAATATGCCAGAAGGAGACTTACAGCTTTGCCTTAAGTAGTAGTGGTGGGGCCAGTGTCTCTCCAATCTTTGCTCTGTGCTGACTTGCTGGAATGTTTTCCTGCGAATCCAATGAAGCCGAGTGGTGAATGGTAGCATAGTGAAATAATGTTCTTGAAGGGCATTATGGGTCAAAGAACTCTTGATAGAACTTTTAAAGAACAACAACAACAAAAAAGACTTAGACATTAGCTTCTGCAGCCCTACTTGAACACTTCTGCTTGCTGGAAACCCAGCTGACATGCAGATGCTGGATTAACCAACTTCTCTTTGCCTTTGAGAACTTTTAAACTCATCAGAGGTTCAAAGGCTAGTTTGATAACTATCTAGTTGGGGTACTTTATGCCCATTTCTAATGAACAGAGGAGAGACTTGCTCATGAAAACTCTTTAGAAACATACAGGTTTGGTCAAGGATCAGGTGCGCTACTGTTGGTACGTTGGTGTTGACATTATTCACCAAACCCAGGTCGGGTTTCTTAAGGAAGTCATCCACCTTGGTTCTCTTTCTATCATTTCCATCTTGGACACTAGAGGAAGGCATGTGTAATAGCAGGAACTTACTCAGAATAGATGGGAGGTCCTTCCTGAATGGCTTCCCCACACCCTCTTGGGTCTACCTTCTTCTCACCCCCTGGTGAGGAATTCTTTATTCCTGGGCAAGGAACAGTGTGTCTGCTGGTGCTTCTCTCCATGGCCCTTCACAGAACTAACCTGCGACACCCCTGGCAGATTTGCTCCTTTCTCCAGGGAGCGAAGAAGTGCTGGATTGAACATCAGCGTGTCCCTTATGCCTACAAGGGGGAGGAGTGGGTCGGCTATGATGACGCCATCAGCTTCAGACACAAGGTGAGGCCTTGGTTCTTTCTTGATCCAGCATATAGTTTCCCTCTGGCGGCCACGAGGCCCTTGTCTGTGCTGTGTGTGTGTGTGTGTGTGTGTGTGTGTGTGTGCGCGCGTGCGTGCACTGGGTGGAGGATGAAAATGTGAGGGTAACGATGTTGGGTGAGTTTTAGACATATCTTATCTAAATGGGGTTTCCTAATTCCATCTAACCCAACCCTCTTATTTTGAAGAGAAGAAATCTCAGTTTTTCACGATCCCATAGCTAATAAGTGGTAGAGGCTAGGTTCAAATACAGGTTATCCTCCTACCCATCCTGCTGTATTGCCACCTGGGAGTCCATCTTCTGTTTTTTGCCATTGTGCTCAATCTGGAGGGCGGCCAGTATAGCAAGTTGACTGACTACTCCTTTGCAGGCATCGTTCATAAAGAAAGAGCACTATGGGGGGGCCATGGTATGGACGTTGGACCTGGACGACGTCAGGGGCACTTTCTGTGGCACTGGCCCTTTCCCCCTTGTCTCTGTATTAAAGAACCTCCTGTTGCAGGCTGGTAAGTAGCTATCACCTGGAAGCTGGGGTCAGAGGTTGTATAAACAGGCACTGGGTGGGTCCCTTCTGTTAGATCTAAAGGCTTTGGTGAGGCAACAGGACATTGAGAAAAGAGCATGAGCTTTGATTATTCTCGGGCCAATCTGCTTTCTAATCTTGGTTTGGATGTGTGCTCCCCTTGACCGCTCTGAGCTTGGTTTCTGTATCTGTAAGATAGGAACCCTCCTCCTGACATTATTATAAGAACCGGATGAGATATGGAATGAAATCCGTGCTGGCTCATAGTTAGCACTTAGTATATGTTAGTTTATTTCTCTATTTGTTTGTATCTCCTGCTTTCCTGGCCAAGGGCCAAAAAAGAAATTAGATTTCTTTGGCTGCCTCTTTGATTGTAGAGCCTTCCCTGACAGGAGATGGCCTCACATGTTAGAATTGATGGTTGATAGTCCTCATTTTATGGATAAGGAGCTTAGGGCTCAAAAAGGTACCACAGCTATTCAGGGGTGCAGATGGACTCCAACCTGATTCTTTATGATATACTGTCCAGAGCAACTTTCTTCCTTTTTTTAAAATAGTTTTTTTAAATTGATTTTTTAGAGAAAGAGGAAGGGATAGGGATAGAGAAATGGAAACATCGATGAGAGAGAAACATCATCCATCGGCTGCCTCCTGCACACCCCCTACTGGGGATCGAGCCCACAACCTGGGCATGTGCCCTGACCAGGAATCGAACCAGCGACCTCTTGGTTCATGGGTCAATGTGCAACCACTGAGCAACACCAGCCAGGCCAGAGCAGCTTTCTTGACCTCAACGCTGCTCCTGGTGCCTCCTACATTGGGGGACACAGGAGATTTATCCTAGAGGACTCAACAAGTAAAGAACTAGGCCATGGGGGCTAGGTCTTGCTGAAGGTGCCGCTAGAGAGGTCAGAGTGAGGGCTCAAGGATAGAGAACTGGCAGGCTCCTTCTTGGGGTCATTCACCAGGAATCTAACAATCCCCTGAGTGTCCATGGGCATCTGGGATCATGTTAACATGATGGGGTAGGGAAGCAGGGCTTCCCTGTGGTGGGATTTTATCTGTGTCCTCAAGTATGTGCATGGTGGGATCCTCCAATTTTGGATTTGGGGAACAGGTACTTCCACCCTGGAGTGGTGCTAGTCCTGCTAGTAGTTATGGGATGGGAAGGAAGGGGTAGAACTCTCATCTTTTTCTGATGATTTTCTATAGAGTCCAGTTCAACTCTTTCACCAAAATTTTGGTCCTCCTCTGCTATGAATTCTTCAAGCACTGGCCCTGGAGGGCTGACGGTGACCAAGGCACTGCCCACTGTTTCAGGGATTTTGCTCTCAGGAGGAGAGGGTGTGGCCACTGAGACCCAGAGAAAGACGGAAAATATGACCACAATCCCCAGAGGTGGGATTGTGACCCCTACAAGGGGAGCTGCATCCTTTGTAAAGCACACTGTAGTTCTACAAGGGAAGACTGAGACCCCTGGGGAAAAGACCATGACCCCTATGACCCCTGAACAGGTGACTATGACCTCTGGGCACCTTGAGACTGAAACCTCTGGAGTGAAGATCATGGTCCGCAGAAGGAAGGCTATAGCACCTGCAAAGATGATTATCCCTTCGGGAAAGATGACAGTCGCCCCCGATGGGAAGACTAAGACTCTAAGAGGAGAGCATTTGACATCGGAGGTGGACATAGAACCCTCATAGGTTACTTTGCTCTTTAAATGGAAGCTGCCCTCTGGCCTGTCGTCCAGCTCCCAGGACACTCCTTTGGCCTTGGCGACCCCTTTGTTCCCACTGATGGAAACCATTCGGTCAACCGATAATCCTTTCAATCAGTCCTCTATGTCTAAAGATAGGAAGCTCTGCTGTGAATCAAGGAGCCTCCGCTCTGTTGGTGGCAGACGCTGGGGAAAGCGCTTGTCTTTTCTTCCAGGTCGCCTGGCAGAAGCCTCCTGTGCCTCACCCTTCATAACCATTCGTGGGGCAGAGCAGGTCCCAAAGCCACAGTGAGCTAATCTCTTCTCTGTTGAATAAACTGGAAGCAAAGAATCCATCTGAGTCTTTGACATAATTTCTTTCTCTCTTTCTTCCTTCCTTTCCTTCCTTCCTTCCTTCCTCCTTATTTTTGCCCTTGATGATTAGGCTAGATTTATGTTTTCTGGTAATTCTTCTCTCTGTCTTTCTTTCTTTCTCTCTCTCTTTCTTTTTTTCTTTCTCTCTCTCTCTCTCTCTCTCTCTCTCTCTCTCTCTCTCTCTCTCTCTCGTTTTCTTAATTGACTTTATTGGTGTGACATTGGTTAGTAAAATCATATAGGCTTCAGAGGTACAATTCTATAATACATCATCTATAGATTGTATTGTGTGTTCACCACCCAAATCTGAAGTTACTTTCTTTCTTTATTTTTAATCCTCACCTGAGGATATTTTTTCATTCATTTTTAGAGAGAGTGGAAGAGAGAGGGAAAGACAGAGAGACATATTGATGTGAGAGAAGCACATCAATTGGTTGCCTCCTGCAAGTCCCCCACCAGGGCCCGGACCAGGAGGAGCCTGCAACTGAGGTACATGCCCTTGACAGGAATTGAACCTAGGACCCCTCAGTCCTCAGGCTGATGCTCTATCCGCTGACCCAAACCGGCTAGGACTGAAGTTACTTTCTTGAAATGACCTGTGCGACCCAGTTTCAGTTTCTCCTTTTCAAGGTCACTTTCCCCTATGGCCATTTTTGGAAAGTGGGAGTTGTGTCTAGCCCACACTGACGTTTTCCACTGTGGATTATCTGCTTCTCTCTCTCCCCTGAATAACCTCTCACTTCACTTTGGTCAGAACCAGAATCTCTTCTAGAGAAGTTTCCCATAACCCTCAAGGGAGGCTGGAAGAAGGCGGGGGTGGGGTGGGGGGAATCTTCCAATTATATTCCCTGCTTGGTAAAATCTTAGTTGTCTCTAAAAATATATCTCACCCATTCTTTTCCATGAGGAGCGGTTGAGAGGAAGGCAAAACACTGCATTTGGGGTGTTACCTGCATGCTTCTCCTAGGTCTCCCCCATAAACACCAATCCTCACTTACTACACATTGCCATCAATCTATGGGGTGTTTTCCTGGGCATGAAGGCCCCTCAGACATTAGTATAGACACAGGATCACTTTCTAGTCCTCTCCTCTAGGAAACAATGATGCTCAGGGTGGGTGTCACACTTATCGCCAATGTTACCATTTCTTTTCAAAGTGCAATCTCCAAATCTTAAAATGAGTCTCAAATTAGAATTCCAGTAGTGACTTACCGAACAGGCTAGAGAGGGAAAGGCTAGAATGAGCCAGCCCCGTGGTGTTAGAATCAGAGGTATCAGTATGAAGTTATGATTCTAAAAGTGTATACAGATAGGTCAGTAGAAAAATTGATATAGAAATACAGTATGTGTATACATAATTATATTCCTAGCTTGGACCACTGAGAGGGTCTGGAAGCAATGACATTTCAGAAGCAATAAGTACATCTAATGCTCAGACCTTGACTTCTAAATTTTGTTTCTCAATAAAAGGAACTGGGGATCCTTGAAAAGATAGCTGATTCTTGGGCTGGGGCAGGGGAGGCACAAGAAAAGACTGGAATATCTTACGTTTCCATAAAGTAAGGAAGTACTCGAAAATCAATGAGGCCATGTCAGAGGGACACAAGAGCCATCCTGAAAGAGTTCCAAGTGGCCCAAATTTGGAAAATTTGCACAACAAAATAATAATAGATTTTAACCCATAGAATAAAGTAAATATCATGAATTCATACACTATCGATGAATAACTGAATTTAAAAATGGAGAAGGGACAACTGCTCCTTAAAATAGAATGTCAGTTAATAAACGTTGAAGAAATAGTCTAGGGTGTGACAAGAGACTGAGGCACATATGTGGGATGGGAGTCTTTGGAACCACTGGCAAGGTAACGATTTGACCGATTGACATGGGAGAGGGGCAGGGCGCAGGCTCCAAGGGCATGACTAACGAACAGGTACGGTTGTCTGCACCCAGGAAAGCGAGCTGAGGAGAAAATGTTATGAGCTTTCGTCACTTTCTAATTTGAATTTTCAAAAAACGATTTTTGTGAGTTAGAAATACTGCCAATAGGTGGCAGCAGCATGCAGGGTTGCATTTTTTTACGAGGACCAGAAGAAAACTTGGTCCTTGTGTGCAAATGAATGAAAAAAAAATTTCCCCATAAAATAAAATATCTTCCCCCCCCCCACACACACAAAATAAAATAACTTTCTACAAAAAAGGGGAAAGCACGTATACATCTCTTTGTTGTTATTATCATTAAGATGGATAGTTTCATGCACATTGAAGCTGTGAGAGCTTGCGTACACCAGGCTCAGAGAAGGAGGCTGTGGTTAGGTAGAGGTTGAGTTCAGACACACCAGAGACTTAATCCCACCTCTACCATTTATTGACTATATGATCATGGCAGGCAGGGGGTGGGGTGGGGGG